AAAATCTTCCTGGTTTCCGTTAATTTCCAGATTTTGAGATATGTTAGTATATAAACGTTTTTTTCGGTATGGTTTAACTATTATATTGTTATCCCATAAAGCAGGGTTAAATATTATATTTTTTTCTGTGTTGTTTACGGAAACTTTGTATGATCTCTTGTATTCATTTTCTTTATTCAATATAACAGATAAGGGGGAGATTCCTATTTCTGTTTCTGGATAGTTTTTAAAAAATTCTTCATTGATTTGATTGCTTACTCCTCCAACAAAAATGTCAAATGTTACGAACTATTCGTTCACCTACAAGTGTTTTATTTTCAGAAATTTTTGTTCCGAACGCGGGCTCTGAAATTCTATGTTTTTTTACTAATGAACGATTTTGTGTTTTGTGATTAGATTTACTATTTCGGCACACTAGAGTAAAATTATTTTCATCATTGTTGGTGTTTGATGCGAGTAGTTGTTTATCGATTTTGGTTTTTTCATTTATATTTTGTGGTCAACATGGCGTCGATAAGTGATTGTGTGAGTTTGAGCTACTTCATTTGCGAATGTTTTTAATAGTTGCGGTTTGTATTCAGCGTTTAAAAAAGATTTATGCGCTTTTTGAGTTAAATTTTTTGTAGCAGCTGGGTTGTTAATTTTATTTTCACATATGTGTATAACCATCGATCTTTAATTTCGGTATTTGACACGGCTGTAAGAGACTTATATCCACTTCCGATTGTCTGTTTTCTATCTTAAGTTTTTCAATAAGTTAATTTTGGAAAGTTATTTTTTCTTTTAAAAGTATGAGTTCTTCTTTTATTTCTTTATTTTCTCTTTGAATTTCATTTGAGTTATGTAACAACTTCTTTACAGATTTAGTTAAAAATTTATCGTTGGGCAGTGTGTCCACATTTTTTGTTGAGATAGTTACCTTAAAAAATTCTTAATGAAGTTGTTTTTCACATAATGTAATTGAAAGTATGTAAATATCTTCCAAACATAAACTTGTTTTGTACGAAGATTCTTTTCAGCAGGATTTGTAAGGTCTAGAGTTATGTTCGCCTCACTAAATTCATCTGCACAAAATGTCTCAACGATTTCAGCAAATAGTCGTTTAATTTATAAATGTCACACTTTAAATAGATAAACATCTCCTTGATTGAACGTGGTGCCATAAATATTTTATTGACAAATTTTTTTTCAATTTCAAGTTTTATTAAGGTGGTACACCACTAAAAAGCACTTTTTCAATTTAAAATAGGAATAAAATCAAAAACTAATATTTTTCTGACTATAAATTTATAAAAAAACACATTTGAAATGAAATTTTTTTCTAAAAGTTTTTTTTACATCCATAATGGCGGAAAAACTGCTTTAAAAATGCATAAAATTCAATAACTTTGTGACGTGATATCTTCCGTTATATACATTTTCTCTAGTTCAAACTTAGTATATTGTTGCATTATAATGTTTTATTCCGGTTGACAGATAGATTTTTAATTTAAGGACATATTTTAAGTTTTATTACGAATTATTAAAAATATGCTTGAAATTCTAAGTAACTTGACTTAACATGTGAACTAATTTCTTTATTTAAAAATATTTAAGAAGAATTTTTTAAATCCCATCTGTTAACCGAATTTCTTGAGTATATTGAGTATACCCTGAAAATTTCAGGCAAAAATCATTACCCAATACAAAGATATTATGTTTCAAAGTTACCCTAGTATTACAAAAATGAAAAACTGTAAAAAACACATTTAAAGTTTTTTTCAGTAAAATCTTGGTTAATGTCCACCAGAAACATATGACTGATTAGTTTCATTTAAATTTTGTTTATCACTGAACCCTTTGGTTACTAATCTTAACTTTTTTCTTTGCTTTATACACATGGTATTGTGTCGATTTTCGCTTTATTTGATTCACACGAGAATTGTCAAACTGAATAGATGTCATTACTGTTATATACCCAGTCAAATTGAACTCTTTTAAAACATCCAAAATACCCTCACTACTATCATTAAAATAAATAACAGCAGAGTAAGTTCCCATTTCAACTATTTCTCTACTGACAAAAGTGTTTTTTGGAACTCTAGACCATATGAGGACCCTGAAGGACTCATTAGGATTTTGTGTCTTACCATGAAGGCATTTAGATAGCAGTTGATTGCCTTGTAAGCTTTTAAAAATTGGTATTAGCAGATTTTTCATCCAGAATGGAATTTAATTTGATGGTATATACTGCTTTGTTTTACTCCAATACCTGCACCACGCTAGAACAAGAGGGTTGAATAAAATTTGAGGTCTTACAAGATACTCTATTTGGTATAACACAGTTCCATTTTCTATGCTTTTTTCTAGAAAGGTTTTTTTTTGTTGCAAACTTTATATTTTTGATGTAGTTTTCTTTTCCTCCTGAACTCATTTTTATATACACTAAATATAAAGCTAAAGTTATTAAATCATATTAACAAATATATCTCAGACAAAGTAAATATCAAAGTAAATTGATATTACAATGTAAAAGTTACAACAACAACTATTTAAATTGTCACAAAACAAATGTACCTTTAAAGTATAGTTCAAAACTTTACGAATATAAAAAAGAAGCCTAGCATAGTCTAAGCATATTCCATAAAAAAGAAGCCTAGCATAGCCAAGCTTAAGCATAGATTTTAAGGGTTTTTTATTCTGTTGCTAAGGCGTTGCTATGGTCAAAATTTTCAATAACTTTAGAAAAATGCATTTTTAAAGTGTTTTATGTAATTAAACAATATAAGATGGTTATATCAAATGAAAAAGGATAAAATTTGGAAAAAAACGAGTCCAAAAACTTAATTTTGAAAATTTACTCCAAAATCTCTGTTTTTTTAGTGGTGTACCACCTTAATGAAAAACCATATTTTAGTTCTCCAATAGTACATACTCAAGATGAAAGATATCGACTATGTTTTATCTATAGAATAAAAAAATAATCACTACATAAGGAATTTTATCAAAAAAATATTTAAAACCTAGCTTCAAGAAGTGTATAATATAACTATAACTATTAGGTCTGTCATATAGAGAAACACAAACTTAAACTTTTTCATTAGACATCGGTGTAAATATTTAATTTGTTTTGACAGCGGTTAGATACAATTTTATCATTTTATTAAGAACATCAATTATTAATAAATCATATTATGGATCTTTGTTCCAAGACCTATTGTTTGTAGCTACTTTTCTTATTTTGACCACTTTTAAATTATCAGTTGCAAGCTGTTAACAACCAGTTATTGGGTGATATACATAGAAAGAATGAGTGAATGAATCACATGACATTACAAAAAGGAACCAAATTAATTATGTCACAAAATACTTTTATTCTAATATTAAAGTAACCTTTAAATAAAACTTTAAAATTGTTGAACACTTTAAAACGGAGGTTAAAACATTTTTAAAATAGATATACTAAAGTTTCAGAGCAGAAATAAGAAAGCTGGATAGTGCAACCAGTGCATTATTTATTGATATATTCTACTAACAATATAAACTTAGACTTACAATTTATAACTGAAATTTTTTTTTGTTTGAAATGTTTTTAAAATAATTATTTATTTTTAAAAAGTTATAAAATATTGTATGTTTTATGTGACAGATTTTAAGATAATTTTATAAAAAAATAAAATTTTCTTGGATTTGAAAAGTTTTAATTTTAGTTTTAAAACTTTTAGACCTACTTTATTATTTATACTTTTTTAGAGCCTGAGTTTCAAAAATCAATTCGAAAGAAATACCATACCTAGCATATTCAATTTTCCAAGTCACTTTGCATACTAGTGGCAACAAGAAAATCAGAAAGAGAAAATATCTTAGAATAAAAAAAAAATACAATTGGCACTTCAATAAATAAGGTAACAACTTTGATGATTGTAAAAAAACTTTTAAAGACTGTAGCCATTTAAAAATTATGGAGACCTCAGCGATGAAAAAAACATTTAAAAAAATGTGTAGATCTCAAATGATAAAAAACAACTTTTTTAAAAATGTGAAGACCTCAGTGATGAAAAATATTTTTTAACCAAAAATCAGTTTTCAAAAATCATTTTTCCCTCCAATAAAAAACCATTATCGTTTCGAATCAATTAATTGCAAATTTTTACAAATTTTTTGAAAAAACTTTCCTTTGATATTTTTCTAAATGCACTAGTGTATTGGAATATTTTCTTATTGACATGAAAGTTATCTTAATTTGAATAATTTGCAAAAGCCTTCTGTTCTGTTGAATCTTCTGTTCAACGTTTTTTACAACTCCTTACTTTCTTAAAAACTCAAAACTTTGGTGATTGTTTGCAGTCACATTGACAGTGAAGCAGTAAAAAAAAAAAACTATTTTTAATTTTTAAAATGAGAAAAATGAAAAAAAAAAAAAATAAAAAACAAAAAAACAAAAAAAAAAAAAAAAACAGCCATGAAATTTTTATGAAAAACGAAAAAGTAAATATATTGTAAAGCTATTGTTCTTGCGTAACACATTAAAAATTACACGATAAAAAGCAGTCGAAATAATTTGGCGTTTCTATTAATATTCAATGCATATAAACAAATTTGAATATTTAGAGAAATAATTATACGCGCGCGAAGTTTTTATCTGAAAGTAAACTGATGGATTGAAATTTGGCTATTTAGTTCTTCATCCCTAAAGTATTAATTTTCTTACAAAAATTCTTTTTTAACATAAAAGTATATTTAAAAATATGCAAAAGAAGCCCGCAATGGTAAAAAAGTAGTGTAAAAAATAAAAGATATAGTATTAAATAACAATATAAATAAAAAAAAATATATAAAAAAAAAATGCAATTAATGTAAAACTGTGCAACTTTTTATTTCATAAATTGGACATTTGCAAAAACACACTTAAAATTAAAAAAACGTTCACATTGTATCATCATTTTTAGTTTATCCAGAATTATCAAATCGCAAACTTTATCTCAAATTTATGAAACTATAAATAAATAAAAAGTATAATGTCAAGAATAAACTAATTTTTATAAATTATCTTTATAATTGCCTTTATAACTGATAATTAAAGTTAAAACCAATGATTGTTTGACAAAAACACTAATTATACTTCAAGTCATGTCACTAGATTTACATAAATCAATGGCCTAAATATCAAGACACTGGATATACATAATTTCCAGGAAAAAGCCCTTGTATCCCATCTTTAATTCCTTCATACCAACCATCGTCGTTTTTCTTTAATACATATATAACATCTCCCTCCGTTAACTGCAACTCATCGTCACGTAGCTTTTCGTAATCATAAATTGCAACAACTGGAAAAAAAAACCCGAAAAAACAACATTAAAAAAAAAAAATCAAACAACTTTTAACAATTAACAAACAAAAAACAAAACTGAATTTATACAACATTAAAAAAAAACGCAACACGTAAATTGAAAACAATATTTGAAAAATTAAAACCTAACAAAAACTTTCAACATCAAAAACCTAAAGGAATTATTAAATGCCTAAAAATTAAATATTATTCCAATAAACCTTTTTCTTCATAAACTTCTGGAATGTTAAGAGAAATGGTTGGCGGTGGAGCTAAAACATTATCATGTGCAGGTAATTGATCATAAAAATTTGATGGAGGAGCAGGAAGATCTTCTACTAGAGAATTATTTGGAGGCGTCTGATAAATATCTTCCACCAAAGGAGGAGGTGGTAAATGATCTACAAAATAAAAAGTTTTACTACAATCTAGTGAGTTGATAATTTTTCAATCACTTTAAACTTTAATTCACGTACTTCATTAACTTCAATAACTATTAATTTCAAAATAAAAAGTTAATTGCAAAGATATTGAAATTGTAGTACGTTTTTTTAAAATTTTATGTTGAACAAGACATCGCATTGTTCACATTCCTTATTGAATAGTTTACATGATGCTCTAAATTAATGCAGCATGGCAAAGTTTCAATTCAAAAAAATCATGCAAGACTATTGACTTAGCATTTCTTTCTTATAGATACCCTTGTTAAATGATTCAAAAAAAATTTTAACTGAAATAAATAATTTAAATTATAAATTAAATCATTTGTTTCAGTTATTAAAAGATATTTTATTTGAATTAAAAAAAAAAATTCTAAAACATAAAATTGTTGCCAATAGAAAGTTGGAAATTCTTATAACAATTAAAAGAAAGCATCTTATCACAAATAACAAAAAACATTATCCTAATTTCTTTAACTCATCTCTCGTTATTATATTTATTCTATTTTTGTTGGTGTTATCATTATAATTATAATAATTATTGTCTATATGTCTATATGTTTCTTATTAGTCATATTATAAGTTAATAATTGCTGTGACTTCTTTTATCAGACTTCCGTATGATCAAACACAAAACTATTATTTTAATATAACTTTAATAAAAACTTAATATAAATTATTATAATGCTTTTAACTATTTTATTCATCATTAAATCATAATTTATTATTATTGATTGATTTATATATGCAGTTAAATTGACTATAAAAAAAATTAATATATTGTTGTTGCTGGCATTTTGTCATTGTAAAAACATAAACTTAAATAATACACAGCCAAAACTTTTAAAAACAAATTTTTTCTTGTTTAAAAACAACACAAATAATCATGCTTCTGGTAGTACTTCCAGGGCTAAACTACCCACCTTGTAGTCCTGGGGCAAAAGATATATAAAAGTGTTGTTGGTTAGCACAAGCTCATAATAGAGGGGTTTGTCGAAACAATTTTAGTAAAATATTTTTCAAAAGTATTTATATAAAAATCTGTTAAAAAAATAAGATAAAATAAGTTTGTTAATGCAAATTTCAGTGTAACTAATCAATCAGTGATGTAATATGCATTTAAATTAATATTTGTTAGCTTTTCTTTACCAATTACTGATCTCGAATATTTTTCACTTTTTTTATTAAGAAGAAATGCTTCCTCCTTAAAAAGCTACAAGAAGTCTTTTTAAGTCTTTTTTTAGTAGTTTTTTAATGCAATAATAATTTTTATATTGTATTCCTTTTATTTATTCTAAAAAACATGATGATGTCATTTGTAAAATCTGATTCCAAAACATTATTGATATCATCCAATGGTAGTTTTGCATAAAATAAATTGCCTTTTTTCAAAAATATTCCAAACCTGAAAAAATATATTGACTTCTTTTAAGAAACAGAAACAAAAACTGAAAAAATCTAAGGTTTTTTTTCTTCTTTTTGTTACCTATAAAAGCTGATCAACAATAACACAAAAGGTTTGTATTACAAATTTGTTTTAGTATTTAATTTAAATATTATTAATAATATAAATATAATAATCACAATAAAGAAAAAAAAAAGTCTGAATTTTAAAAATTTTCTAGCAGCACCACAAGTAATTTGTTGCAGCACCACAAGTAATTTGTTGCAGCACCAAAAGTAATTTGTCGATGTTGTAAACTCAACCAAATTATCTATTATATTCTATTATTAATTATTTCAACAGCTGTGATTTCCTTATTATTAAAATTTCTTGAAACATTATCTTCAATATTTTCTGCTAGGTTAAGTGTTAAATTTGGAGAATAGAAATTAAAATTATTTTTGAGTTTGATTTTTAAAACACAAGTTTTGTTTTACAAATAGTATTAAAGACACATTCAGTTTGTTTTTGAAAAAATATTTCTCAGACATAACTAATTACTATTGTTTTACTATTGTATTTAATTATTATTGTAAGGATACTGATTTTGTCATAGTTTTCTTCTTTGTTTTTTAAAAGAAACTTTTTTTTATTACTATGGCATTACTATATTTTTATAATAATATTATAATATCTAAAATAAAAATTATAAAATTATACGTTATACAATTATTATATATTACATACGTAATACGTTATACAATTATTATATATTACATACAATAATTTCTAAAATATTAATATAACTACTTTTAGATGATTTTTATTTTATGATGCCTTTTAATAATGGTGGGAACTGAACCCGGATTCCTGACCCTCTGTGTGTTCCTGCCAATAACTAAGCCATTTACGTAACGTGAGCATAACGTGAAATCAAGATAAGCTGGTTTATTTAAACTAAAGTAGAAGTTGTTTTAAAACTGAACCCAAATTATTTTGGTAACCTTTCTTCTTTTAAACTTCTAATTTTCACCAATGTTGGGTAATTCCAAAATAATTTCATCTCCACAAAAAATATTTTTTTATTAGTAACAATACAAGTAGAAAAAAATAGTTTAGAATAAGAATATTGATTAAGAAACTACTTTTAGATAAAACTACCTTTAAAAAACAATATATTAAATCAAAAATTGTTTTCTATTTCTAAGGATTGCTACTAGTTACAGGCTTGTTAAGTGGCACACAAATTGTATAGGTTACCAGCTTATTGAGTGACACACACCTTGTATAGGTTACCAGCTTGTTGAGTGACACACAACTTATATACTTGCAAAGTATTAGTATAACTTTTATAAAACAGAAATATTGAATTGTTTGAACTAATCAATTCAATTTGAATCTAATTTTGTCCCTAAAACTATTGCAGAATTTACTTATGCTTCTGAATTTGAATACTGCACGATTTGTTGCTCTGAATTCAAAAACTGCATGTTTTGTTGGCTAAATTTGAAAGCTGTACACTTTGGTTCAAGAAGTTATTATACAATATCATGAGATTTAATTGTGACATACTTAGTCAAACTAAAAATACTTTAAAACAAAGATGTGATTGGTTGACTTTAAATAATAGTAATAGATATAGTCATATTAAAAAAAAAATTTTTTTAATGAATCAAACTGTAAATTAAGTGAATTAAATTAATTAAATCTAAATTTTTTTTTTAGATCTTTAAACAAAATAATTAGAGCCTAATATATATATATATATTTTACATCTTTAAATAAAAAAAATAAAAGATAAAAAATGACAAGGACCATAACAATTTCACTTACTGTCATAAAAACAATCTTCAAGATCAACAGGAAAAACTGACTGAGTTTTAAAGGAATCTTGGGGTAAAATTGGGGGCAGAGGAGGAAAATCTGAGGTATAAACAATTTTGTTAGAAAATATATTGTCTGTTGTTTTATTATTTATAATAAAAGGAACATTTTCTGATGCAGTAAAATTAATGGACTGATGACTTGCTATGTTGCTATGGCAGCATTGGTCAGTTTCATTGCTATGTTTTTGATTATTAGAGAAAGAGGTACAACAGGGAGGTGAAAAAGGTTCTGTTGGAAATTGATTTTCTGATGGAATTGGAGGGGGTGAAGGCGAAGGTGACAAAAAATTTGGAGGATCTGGAAATGCTGAAATACTTGATGCCAGAGAAACAGGTTGTAGAGAAGAAAATGCAAGAGGTGGAGGGGATGGAATTACTGGAGAAGATGGTTCTGATGGAAAGTCTGTGAAAATAGGTGCTGGAAAATCAGGAGATAGTGAAGAAGCAGAAAGTGATAGAGAATCGAGACGTTTGGGCAATGGTGGTGGATATATTGAAGAAGATTTTGAAAACACATGTAATGTAGATTGAGGTTCGGTGGTAACAATTGGAGGCAAAGAACACAGTGCAGGAAAAGGTAATTGTGATGGCAATGGAGGGGGTGGAGAAGGTGCTAAAGATAAGTCCAGAGAAACAGGTGATGGAAAATCAAGAGGTGCTGGAGAAACAGAACATGACAAAGAACTGAGACGTTCTGGTAATGATGGTGGAAATACTGAAAGGGAGTTTGATAGTGGGTGCAATAAAGAAAAAGGTTCTATAGAACAAGTAGAATGAGTTGAAGTATTAGATAATGAAGTAGCAGCTAGAGCGCTGCAATTTTTAGTTGAATCCAAAGATGAACTTGTAATAGGTTCAGAAAATGATTTTTGTGACAAAACTACTTGAATAGGTGGTGGTGGTAGAGGTGGTAGTGGTGGTGGTGGTGGAGGCTGCAACGGCAGTGATGGTGGTAACACAGGTGGTGGTGTTGATAATGAAGTATCAGCTGGAGCACTACAATTTTTAGTTAAATCTAAAGATGAACTTGAAAAAGGTTCAGAAAATGATTTTTGTGACAAAACTGCTTGAAAATGTGTTGTTGTTGGTGGTGGTGGTGATGGTGGAGATGGGGATGGTGATGATGGTAGCGGCAGCGGTGGTGTTGGTGTTGGCAGTTGAGATTCCTGATGTTGTGGTGTCAATGGTAGGGAAGATTGAAACACTACATTTGGCTGAACAGGTTGAGTAATCACAGCCTTATCACTGTCTGATGGTGAATTTCGAGGAGAATTTAAAGAAGATATAGAAATATTGCGAGGAGAATGTAAAGAAGATATAGAAATATTGCGAGGAGAATTTAAAGAAGATATAGAAATATTAGAATTACTTTTACGAATTTTTTTTTCTTTATTTCCAAAATTTATAGAAAGTCTTTTACTTATTAGTACATCAATAATTTTAGGTAAAGAAAAACGTTCTTTTGGGACATAAGTAGGATCATTTTCAGTCAAAATAGAATTTGATAACTTTCTAGGGGTAGAGGTTGCAGTTGGATGTAACTTACCATCATAATCAGGTTCGGGCACAAATATTGGAGGCGGAGGCATAGCACTGTCAGAATAACTAGTAGGGGGAGCTTTCGGAATATGTTGAGGAGGGCCACCAGCAATTGTAGGTGGTGGTGGAGCTGGGGAAGAAGGTACAGCAGGTATTTTTGTGACAATTGGAGCAACAGGTGCAACAGGTGGTCTTACTGGTTGAGTCAATCTTTCAGTTGGCGGAGTGCTGACAGATTGATAAATTTGTTGCGATATACTTGATGGAATTGAGCCTTGTGATCCAGAGGTAACACTTGAAACGCTTGCAGCTTTAAACGACCCTGTAGATGATGCAGTGGATAAACGTCTCTGATTTTGGGTTTCTTGTGAATTTTTTACACCATGGCCTAAAAATTATTCATTCATAAATAATGAAATAAGATAAGGCTTAATTGTTCAAATTAAAAATAAAACAAATTTTGTTTTACCTATATGATCAAGTGAGTTGAAGTTAATCTCTTCTCTCTTATAACTTTTAGGTTTCTCTTGTTGAGGAGGAGCAACAATTTTATGAGAACGCGAAAAGTTTTTAGATGAGGTGAGAACACCAATTTCACGTCGTGCTACTTTTTCTTTGTGTATATCAACAGTCTAAAAAGTATAAACTAAAAAACTATAAAAACGAGCTTTATAAGTTGAATAACTGTAAAAATAAACTATGTAAAGTAAAAGCGGGCATAATTGAACTGCTTTTAGTTTTTATGAATTATCTTTTAAAAGCAAAATTATTTTGAACTTTTTAAAATTATTGTATAGAATTTTTTGCTCTATCATATGGTATAAAACTATTTGATTTTCAATTAAAAAATTTAAACATGAGTTAAACAGAGTTACTCTGAGTAAATAATTTTAAATTTTATTCACTATCTGTTCTTCAAAATAAGAAAATAAAAAATGATAGGGCTAAATTTAAGATGTAGTTTTACTTTCAAAATTCTGCTGAAGATAATCTTTTTTTCAGAATTGAATTTGCTTGTTCCAGAAATGAACTTATGAAGAAAAAACTGAAATAAAGAGATTTTCTGTTTAATGGAACACACTATTATGTTTAACGGAACACACTATTATGTTTAACGGAACACACTCTTTATGTATATATTTATAATTATTTTGCATTTATTTATTAAAACTTGTTTATGCATCTAATTTGTATATAAACATAAGTAACCTACTAAACTAATAACTAAATATGAGTAACCTTTTTTTGTGTATCTTAATTCACCTCCCCAAGGCTGAGAAGGCCACTACAGTCAAGGAGGCTACTTTAATTGTGGTTACAACCATCTGTCAACTCTATAACTCCAAAACATGAAAAAGGCAGCTGCACAGAAAAACAAGTTAAGTGCGGCACTACCAGAGACATAGGGGGGGGGGGGGGAGGGGTTGAACTCAAAACGTTTTGCGTATGAAGCAAGCACTCTACCACTACACAACTACTGCATTGTTACTTAAATTAATAACTTAAACAATTTGCCACTTTATTTCAGTCAATCAAAAAAAAATTCACAAAATAGCAACAAAAAAAACTAAGGAGTTACATTGACAAGCAACTTAATGTTAAAAAAATAAAATCTGGCCACTTATTATTATGTCAAGCAAACTTTTCAGGGAAAAGGGTTTAAAATGTATGACACTAAATATTAGACAAATATTACATAAACTCACTATGCAGTGATTTATCTAAAAATGCTTTTATTTAGCTTTAATCAAAAGTCTTTAATTCTGCTATTTCTGCTAGACATAAACAAAATTGATTTTTTTCAATTACTATCTATTCAATATGTTTACAGCTGTTCCATTTTGTCTTTTTTAGTTAAACATGTTAACTAGCCATACAATTAAAGTTATAGAATTAATAGAAATAAAGCAATTAAATAGATTAAACGATACAATTAATTACAAAGATGACAAAATTAATATGTTCACAAGTTTCACCAGCTTTAACCAACTACTCCAATCTACCAAATCAATAATAATAACTTACCAGTACATGTCCCACTCAATTAATCAGTCTCAATCAATAATTGTAATAAATTTAAAAGCAAATTTTAATTTAATTCAAACTGCTAATCAAGAAAACAGAATTGCTCTAGAAATACATTTACAAGCTGATCGTGTCAACACTATGAAGCAAAAAAATCATGTCAACACTATGAAGCAAAAAAATCATGTCAACACTATGAAGGAAAAAAATTCCAGAATTAGCAGACCTGAAGGAGAATGTCTCAGTTTATGCAAGATGCTAAACATACTCAAACAGGCTGAAGACCAGAAGAATGAACAATTAAAAAAAAATAATCAATTTTAAAGCTATGCAAAATAATAAAACATTGAAAAAAAATAATTATATATTTATATATATACAAGAAATTTCCAAAACGTTGGAACTAAGATGCAACAAATGAAAATAACCAATAGTTTAAATACAAAAATTTTAAATGTCAAAGTTGTGTGTGTTTTGAATGCTTGCTAAAAAAATTATACACATTTGTCAATGAGTTATTTTGTACAAAAAAATATAGAGACTTATTTTTTACTTTAATTGTACCATTTAATCTATTTAATTGCTTTGTTTATATTAATTGCATAACTTAAATTGTATTGTTAATTAACACCTATAACTTAAAAAGACAGTCATCGAAAAATTAAACTTTTTTTTTTATCTTTAAATTTTTTGTGATTTGAAAACTAAATAAAGTTGTAAAATAAAATTTATACATTCTTGTAGAACCAATATTTCTTAATAAATCTATATTAAAAAACTAATAAATCATTTTTTGAAAAAGAATAATTCAAATACTGTTCAACAAGACCTGCTTTTACTTTATGCAACAAAACTATGAAAACAAGATATCACTAATGTTTTAAATGTGTGAAAGAAATTTTTATAAAAACAAGATCTCACTAAGGTTTTAATTGCATGAACGAATTTCTTATACAAACAAAATATTACTAAAGTTTTAAATGTGTGAAAGAAATTCTTATAAAAACAAGATACCATTAAGGTTTTAATTGCCTGAAAGAAATTTTTATAAAAATAAGATCTCACTAAGGTTTTAATTGCATGAAAGAATTTCTTATACAAACAAAATATTACTAAAGTTTTAAATGTGTGAAAGAAATTCTTATAAAAACAAGATATCACTAAGGTTTTAATTGCTTGAAAAAAATACTTAGAATTTTTTTCTAAGAATATTTTTCTGAACATTAAAACATTTAAAAAAAAGGTGTGCAAAGAAAATTTTGAGTAAAACGTTTTTTTTTAATTTTTTTTTTTTTTTTTATACCACCTATTCACCTATTTTAGTAGAAAAGAAGTTTGTAAGTTGAACCCTTGTTGGATATTTTTTCAAAGGATTTTTCGGAGAAAAGAACAAATCCTGCTTTAACTGCTAAATCAAAAGCAGGATTTGGTCCTTTCTCCAAAAGGAAAAAGGAAATTAGAAAAATAAGAATAATAGATAATTATAGTAGGGCAATGAAACCAAAAATATTTCAAAAGTTTGAAATTGATTTTAACATTTCATATCTACACAGAATTGGGTGTACAATTTTATTTACAACAAATCCAACAGATTTAACAATACCAACTACAAACACATTTTTAACTACAAACAACTACAAACAATACCAACTACAAACACATTTTTAACTACAAACAACTACAAACAATACCAACTACAAACACATTTTTAACTACAAACAACTACAAACAATACCAACTACAAACACATTTTTAACTACAAACAACTACAAACAATACCAACTACAAACACATTTTTAACTACAAACAACTACAAACAATACCAACTACAAACACATTTTTAACTACAAACAACTACAAACAATACCAACTACAAACACATTTTTATAAGTAACTTCTTTTTATATTGAACCAGATCCAGGTAAATTTTAAAGATGAAATGGTTGATTGATATATATGATCTAACAATGAATTTAGGATCATTGATTAATTTTCAAAGTTATAATTAAAATAAACTTTGAAATAAAAAAAAGAACTTTTATAGAAAAAAAACAACAGTATTATTTTTCAATTTTACTAACTTTTGTATTTTGTTACATTTTTTTGTTACTTGTTAATCGCTTTTTATTTATAAACACTTTTTCATACTTTTTTATGTACATAAAAAACATTAAACATAATATGCTTTTTTTTAATTTTGTTTTTATGCGTACTTTTATTTATTTTAATAGCAGATTGTAGTAATGGCAGCTTTATACCACCTTACAATTCAACGACAACTTACTGTCTCTATATCTTTGCTAAGTTGTTGTAAAGCTGAAAGAACAATAATGCTATCGTAACAATTTTTGATGATTTATGATTATATAGTAATAATAAAGTAAATGTCATAATTAAATGTTAAAAAAAATAAAATTACTTCTAATTAATTGTTAGGAAAAACACTTATAGGAAAATCTACAATATATTGTTGTTCAGTCAAACCAAATTTGTTTTTTTTAAAACAAGATTATCAGTGCAAGATTTAAAATATTATGCGCACTGCAATGGTTTAATTATTTGCGGTTTTGATATTTTTAAAAAGCAAATGGATACACATAAACAACTATGGAATGGTGTTATGCTAACAAAGTCAAGGTAGTCCCTTAAATTATGAATACACTTAATTGTCAGGAACTTTGTCTAATCAAGAAATACTGGACAATTATAAAATCTAAATTTAAGAAAAAATGTTGTAAATTTAATAAAAAGACTTGTCAAGAAAACCAAGCTAATAAAATTGTGCACTGAAAAGTTCCAATCAAGTGCTGTACAAAATCTCTATTGTGCTCTATTAAAAAAAAATTTACAATTCTGATTCTGGTCTGGTTAATTTTGTTCATTAATAAACAAGCTTTTATTTAATATGCAGCAAAATCCATTCAAGTAATTTAGTAACATTTTGGCCCTTAAAGTTATGAGTTATGCATGCGTTAATACCTTACTACAATAAAATACCCTCTTGTTTATTATGTTTTATGTGTTAACAGTTCAATCAAAAAAAAATTTTATTATTTGAATAAACCATAGATCATCCTAGTCATATTTTAAAAATCCGGAAAATTGTTTGAATAAAATTCCAGAAAAAATCCGGAATGTATTTTCCCTTATTTTCTTTTTAATTTCCTTTTAGCTAAGTTGTTTTTAGTTTTTTTTTGACACTTTTTATAATTTTTTTATGAGTGATGAATAAAAAAGCCTAAAAACCAAATATATTACAAAAATATATACCTCAATTTGCACGTATTGAAAATGTTTTGAATATCCGGAAAAACTAAAAGTTGAAAAAAATATCCGGATTTCCGGAAATATCCGGAAAAAGATAATGCCTGATAAACAAATTCATTTTTAGTAAGGCTGAGAGACTTGTGCATGTTGTTGTGAGATGTGTGTTGTTGTGGGTATTAGTAAAATGTATTTGGAAAATAGCCTGGACTGTTGGTAATTTAATTTATTAAAGTAACAACAGTTCAGGCTATTTTTATCCTAAATATTAATATATAATTAAGATGTATTCATTCAAATTTATTAAACTTTACTATTATCAATTTCTACTTTTTTATTTGACTTACTTATTTCTACATTCATTTCTACAATATATATATAAAAAAAAAAAAAAAAAACAACTTTAAAGTTATAAAATTATGACACTTAAGCTGAACCTTGTAACTTAAAATAAAAATCAGACAAAAATCATTTTAAACAATTCTTAACACCTTACCAATCCAATATTATTAGCATGAGAATTCATTTTATCAAGCTGTATAACTTGCTGATCCATCATCTGAAGCATGTTTACAGCCAAAGAATGAATTTGATATGCAACACTAGCAAGTGATTGAGATGCATAAGCTTTTGTATCTTCCAAAAATTTTGCTGTATCAGCACTATAAAATATAAAAGACATGTTTCAAGATTCCAATATTTTGTAAGATATTTAATCTTTTAGTAAAAATGAAAAAAACATTAGTGTTTTTTCAATTTTGAAAACCCTAACACACACAAACAAATATTAATATTAAAAAAAAAATTAATTTAAATTAATGTAAATTAATTTGATGGATGGCATATAAATGTTTTGAAAATACCATCTTCTTATTTTTGCTCTACATGTTTGAGCAGGTCTCTTATTTAAAGTCATTTTCAAAATCCTGCTTTTCACTGAATATTTCTTATTTAAAAAGAATTGAAATAAATTTTTTAAACAAATTTGAGTTATAGATTTATGTAATACTTTTTTTTTGTGAATCAAAGTTGGATTATCTAAATTTTTCAAATACTGATTCTCAAAAACTTAAATTAAATCAAAAAAAAAATTTTCAACCAACAAATTTACTTAGATTTATAAAATGTTTATAATAAAATTTGCTATTGAATCAATATTTGGTTTTCTGTTAAAAAGTTTGGCATTTACTTCAAAGTCATGGTTTTTAAAGTTAAAACTACATTTTCTGTTCCTTACTTGTTGACTTTACTATAATTAACATTTGTTCTGTGTTGATTGATCAATGCAATTATGGGTATCAATAATTTATAGCTTATAGAAAGGTCTATCTGTTTTTCTCATCCCATTGCTCAGGGTCCAAGTTTTAAGGAACTTGTGTGTTAACATTTAATGAAACAAAAACATAAATGTTAACAATATTAAACACCAAAGTTTGCATATAGTAAGTATTTTTCTGTTATTTCTTTGTTCACACGTATTGTGTTCAAGATTTGTAGATTTTTGTCAATTTGGAAATAACGTGTTAATTATGGAACAAATTTACTAATAGCATTTTTTTAAAACAAGAACATAATGGTGTTAGGCAAAATATTTCATTAAAAAAAAAGAGCAAACATTGCTTTTAAAAACAAATAGAGGAATGTAAATTTGTTTGATTCATATTATGAATCAAACAAATGATTTGTTTGATTCATATTAACGAATCGTTAATATGAATCAAACAAATTTACATTCCTCTGCCTGGTTCTAGTAAATTTTACTAGAATTTTTTTAGAAAAGTTTTTTGAATTTTGCCAAATGTGGAAATGTGGAAAGATTTTAAATGTAACAGAGAAGTCTAACGAAGGGAATGACAGTAAAATGCTATTTCTTTTAACTATGTGTATTGACTTACTGGCAATCGTATCAGAGTTTTCTGTTTCTATGCAAAGTGGTAAAACTGACACAGTTAATACCACATCCATATTTCATATGCTTTTTTAATCTGTGAACAAAAGAATCATAAGCCAAATTTATATAAATATTTTTTCAATTATTTCTTGTGGTGCCACCTTATTTTAAAGATTTAATAACTCTTAAATAAAAAAAATAAAAATAAAAGAATTTTCTGTCGAAAACAAAGGATTGTATGTATTTATTAAAAAAAAAATTAATAAACTACCACATGTAAAATATTTGATTTTAATGATGAGGGAAAATATTACTTTTAAAGCATTAAAATGAAAAATTACAACTGGTCACTTAATTAAGTTAAATAAAATAAAAAAAGAGTTTTTTATAGTTTGCTTAGAAGAAGAAGCAGAAAGCAAGCAAATATTTGTTCCAAAATTTTTTAATTATAAAGGATGGGATCAGAAAATGCCCTGGGATAAATGCATCAGATGTGTTAAGTCAATGGCACTCTCTGTTAGAGTATGCACAGGAGTATCTTTTTTTACTAACACACAACATATTTGCGAAAATGGAGAAAAAAATTCTTTTCTTTTTTTATAAAATTGTTTGTCACGTTTTTATAAGTTATTTAAGTTTTAATATTATTTGAACATCCACTTTATTCTTCTAGATATTTTTCTACTTCAATTAAAATTTGGGAATATTTATGTTGCTTGAACAAAGAATGAATTTTAAAAGTTATAAGTGCATTATAAAAGTAACAACACTATTATAGTGTTATTGCTTTTGTAATGCAGTTAGTGACTAGAGTGTTATTACTTTTGTAATTGTAAGTTTATTGTTTTATTTTTTATTTTTTCGCTAACAAATTTAAGTTGATTCTCCCCTTAAAAACAAGGAACACAGTTTTGTATAAAATAAAATTTTGAATACTAGATATTTTTCCAGATTTTGCGTTTCACATTCGCTTAATTCAACCCTTGTTGTTATATTAAAATTATACAAATAAATTTTAGAAACACATTGCAATTTGTATTTTTGCTATCCTCTTAAAAAAAAAGTTTAGAAAAAGAAAATCATTTTTTTTATTGAAGACTTCAAACTGTTTTTATTTTTTGCTTTGCCTTATCTAATTTTGTTGCTGAATGCAACAACCACTCTAAAGAAAAGAAAAAAAAACAGTACACAAATTATTTAAATCATTAATTTGTTTTTATTTTTTTCTATTTCAATCTCTTTTTATTTTGTTAGTTTTGTTTTTTTTTGTTTTTGAAACTTTTCCAGCATTGATTATTATAAAACTTGCAAACGGCCATGTTCAAGTTGTCTAAAATAATATACTTGCGTATGGTCATGCAAGACGAAAAAAACGCACGCCTTTCCTAGGAAGGCTTGTAGAGTGTAATAATTTTTTATTTTATCAGTTAAATATTTTTATATTCTATCAATATAATTCAGAGTGTAATATTTTTATATTTATCACTTAGTCCAATCTAATCAAAAGCATTTGCATTTCAATATATTTTAATTTTTATTCCTTATTTTATTCAATTTTATTTATTTATTTTTTGCAACAATCGCGCCTTTTAAAAGGCATTCAATTAATTATGTAATTAATTTGTTTTATAAATTGTGCTAGTGTGTTTTATTTTTGTTATAATGATAATTATACTTTTGAGAAAAAAAATTATACTTTTGCGTGAGCTGTGAATTGCTCTCATAAACCATTATAGGGGAGTGTGGGCTAATTACACTCACTTATGTGAATCACACTCACTTATGTGAGTGTGAACACACACATAAGTAGCAAAGATTTAATAAAAATATTGCAATATAATGCAATGCAATGTAAACTATCGAAGTTTTAAAAAAAATAAACTCAATGAAAATTTAAGTGTATCTTCAAAAATACACAATATTGAATTTAAACAATTTTATTAAAAAAAAATTGCAATGAAATATTCTAAAGTGTAAGGAAAGAAACTACAAATTCACTAGACTAACATTAAATAAACTGAATAACATGACACTGATTTTGATTGCATAATTTGGTTCTGTAAAACCTAGATACATCCGTACCTAGCCTACGCAAACTTATCTGCAATACTTTTTCACTCTTGACATTTAAAAACCTGTCTTTTTCTGTGTTTGTTTTAACTGAACAAATATGAATGTATGACAATATTTTTAAAAAATAGTTTGTGTTCAAAATATATTTAAAAACTTTGATCAGAGACTGTCCAAACAAGTTTTGATCAGACATTTTGTCCAACTTTAAATTTAAAAAAAAAAATTAAATAGAGCACTGTATGTCCACGTCCCTGGTAGTACCGCGCTCAACTCGTTTCTCTGCGCAGCGGCCTTGTTCGTCAAGGTTCGTGTTTCGGAGTTATAGAGTTGAGAGAGGGTTATAGCCACAAACAAGTAGCCTCCTCGTCTGTAGTGGCCTTCTCGGCCTTGAGGAGGTTAATTAAAATAAAAAAAAATTTAAAAAAATGTATATACAGACCTGGCCAAATCATTAGAAACACTGTTAAAAAAACTGCTAAAAAATGTTTATCATTATATTTCAATATTCTAATCTATTTATATTTATATTTTTTTAGAATGTCTGTGTTCTCTGTTTATAGGTGAAGGTTATTTAAAAATAGGTATTTTATTAAAAAAAAATTAACTTAAAAATTAATTAAATTAATAATTTTGGATGTCTTGTTGTTATGCTAAATTACATGTACGTACAGTACAGTACTTTTTTTTATTGCTGTAATTGCATAATACATGATTTGCCATACTATAAATGCTGATCCAGTTTAATAAATTCTTTACATTGTTTTGTGATTACAGGTGTGCTTCAGTGTTGAGAGTAAAATTGATACTATGTAGGAGCCCTCACTGTTTGTTTTAAGTAACAAAGCTCTGCGTCCAGAATGTGTTTTTGCAACCGTCAAGCATCTCACTTCTATTATGATTTGGGGAGCTAATTCTGCTCAAGATGCAGGCTCCCTGCATACTATGAATAAGTTTATGAGACAGGACCAATATATTAAAATCCTGCAGTCCAAGCTGTTACCCTAAATGGATGCATGGTTCTCTAACAATAATAGAATTTTCATGCAAGACGGAGCATTTTGCCATACAGCAAAAAAGATTACTAAATTCCTGAAAAAGACAAACATTCCATTGCTTAGCTGGCCAAAAAACTCATCTGACATGAATCCTATTGAGAACTTCAGGCATCTTATTAAACATAGGGTCAATGCAATGAAACCCACCACTAAGTATTGCTTGATTGAATGCTTACTTCAAGTATGGAATCACAACTAAGACATCCGCGAAATGTACTCCAGTCTCATACTGGGAATGCCCAAACATGTAGCTTAAGTAATCAGCAACAACAGTGGTTACACCAAGTATTGACTGTTGGATCTATTAGCTGTTGGTCGTGCATGACCCAATGCAGTTTAGATACATAACACTCAGGGCGCAACAAATCGACGAATGTGTGAACGTTTATTAAAAAAAAGACAGAAAAAAAGCTTAAATTTTTTAAAAACGAACGCATATCTTCAGCAATTTTTTTTTTCCAAATAATTATACGATTGATAGTTTTTTATTTATTATAAAAAAAACATAATTAAGTTTAAAAAAATAAGTTACTAAAATTTAAAATGCAATGACATTAAAAGAAACCGTGCTAATACTTTCTTCAATATTTCTTTTAAGTATCCAACTGTAGAAAAATGTTTTAGCATGGTTTTTACATGCGTT